ACATCTGTCATCCTGGCGACAATCACCCTCTACCCCAAACTCTGAACCTCAAACCTTTGGCCCTCACCCTAAACCCTAAACCCCATACCCTAAACCCTAAAAACCCTAAACCCTAAAAACCCTAAACCCTATACCCTAAACCCTAAACCCTATACCCTATACCCCTTTCTATGTCTAAGTCTTCAGACCCCGCTGTTTGCCGGAGATGTAACCTCGGAGCCGGATCGAGAGACCTCCCCTGGTTCTGAGTCGATGTCGCGGTAGGGTTCAGAGGGTTCATAGGGTTTATAGGGTTTATAGGGTTTATAGGGTTTATAGGGTTTAGGGCTTGTAGGGTTTATAGGGTAAGGGCTTATAGGGTTTATAGGATTTATAGGATTTAGGGTTTAGGGCTTGTAGGGTTTAGGGCTTACAGGGTTCATAGGGCTTAGGGTTTATAGGGTTTAGGGTTTCTGGGTTATATGATATACTTTTGGAAACTTAGAACGGTTTAGGGTTTAGGGTTCAGGCTTTCGAATATCATGAGGTTCTCACATCGCCTAAGGGCATTGCGCGACTTCGCGTTTTCGTAGGACTCGTACTTCCGAGGTCCTGTGGCTCCTAAACCCGAAAACCCTGACTGCAGAGGAAAGGAACCCTAAAACCCCCAAACGCTAAACCCAAAATCACAAATCCCCCTACTCAACCCTAAACCCTCAATCCCAGACCTCCGAAACCCTAAACCCTAAACCCTAAACCCTCAATCCCAAACCTCCGAAACCCTAGAGGAGGACGTTGTGGAAGAAGTGAAGCCACCCGAAGAAGCGAAGGCCGAGGAAAAGGAGGCGTGGACGGGTTCTTCGGTCTAGAAGAAGAGTTAGTGTTCTTGTTAATGGTTCCTTTAAAGGGCTTTACATATACATACAGAGAGAGAGAGAGAGAGAGAGATATATATATATATATATATATATATATGGGGTTTGAGGCTTGAGGTTTCTGAGGATGTTATCGGCTTTTGATAGGGGTTCTGTCAGGGTTTTATAAGGTTTTGGATTTGTAGATTTAGGGTTCTATGATGCTAACTCGCAAATTGAAGGAGCTCTGGATAAGTGAATTCAGGAAGTCGTTTTCAAGAATGTTGGTTTAATCATTTCGCAGGGTGTATCAAGAACCTAAAGGTTTAGATGCCAAGCCATGTTTTTCCCCCGCGCGCCACCTAGCGAGCCCTGCATGGTTTCATTACGGTTTCATCATCTGTTTCACCTGCTCCGGCCAGGTCCAAAACAAGGTTACGGGCCTACTGAGCAGAAGCCCTAAACTCCATGATTACCTATACTATTTTGGGGGTTCCTTGTTATAATTATAGTATACTGGGCCCCAAAAACCCTATTCCAATTATTGAGGCCCCTATATTACCGAAGCCGTAAACCATGAACTGAAGCGCTACACCCGGTCCAGTCTCGTGTGCGGTCGAACTATCCAGGGAGATATTTTCCTGAAGCTACGCACCAACAGCAGCAGATCGGTACGGCTCGGTTGTAAGCCTTTCAGGGAATCAGGATTTTTGGGTAAGCGTTGAGGGGGGTTGGGCCTGTTGGTGCAGCGATTGTAGTAAAACGGCAAACTGCATCGACGCCTTTTGCAGAGAACCCTAAACCCTAAACCCTAAAACCCTAAACCCTAAACCGTAAACCCTAAACCCTGGTGTTCATTGAGTCCCTATGCCAGGGGCAGCGGAATCAGCAGCCCGAGCCAGATGCATTCCGGACACAGGCCGACATATTAAGGGGTTTAGGGTTTAGGGTTTAGGGTTTAGGGTCAGAGGAATCACTGATTGGCGTCTCAGGTTTAGCTTAGAAGTCGTTTGTTTTCAGAGAAGGGCTGCACCAGACAATTTTGAAGCCTGGGGGCGTCTTTGGAATGCCCGCTTGGCTGAATATAGGGCCTAAATAATTACCTATCTTTTTTTGGAGGTTCCTGCTTATATTTATAGTACTATATACCCCCAATGCGCTATTCTAATTGTTAAGGCCCGTATATTACTGGTCTTAGCGGGAGAATACTCTCGCTTTGGGGTTTATGTTACGGGGTTCTGCGTGAGTATCGGGGTCTGCAAGGAAAGCCGGAGGATTCCAGGGGGTTGGTTGGGATGGTTATCGTATCATCTACTGTGCCACCCTGCCCTAAGACCCTAACCCTAAACCCTAAACCCTAAACTCTAAGCCCTAAACCCTAAACCCTAAACCCTAAACCGAGCCTGACGGCTCCCATAATGCGGGAGTGCGGGTTGGGTCTTAGCAAGGCCGAGGCGGGCTGCTTTCGGCGGAGGTGGCTTGGCGATGGCTGCTGTTGATAACTGGAATTTAGGGGTTTAGGGTTTAGGGTTTAGGGTTTAGGGAAGTCGCAAACCCCGAATTCCAGACCCTAAGAACCTTCATAAAACTTTGCCTGCTTGGCAACTCTTTGAAAACACCCTCGTTGACAACTTTAAAGGAACCCTCTACAAACCGTATCAAAGCTTGCCACAACCTTTATAGAGCCCCGATGTTTGCTTCAAAACCTGTATAAGGCCTTAACGAATCTTTGGACATCCTTGTAGAACCGGACCCCTTCTCCCCAGGCGCCAGCGGTGCGCGCACCTTCGGTGCAGGCGATTTTGGGTGCCAAGGACTCGGCTCGGTCTTTTGGTGCGCTGTTGTTTCGCTTTTTGTAGGTTTTTTTGGGTTTTTCTAGGGTGTCGTGGGGTTCTTCTGGCGTTGCGAAGGCATCTTGTAAGGTTGTTAGAGCCCCCCCAATTGTTTTCCTCCAAAGGCATCTGGCAGGTGTTCGGAGTGAGATTGGGTATCAGCAGGTAGTATCCTAGAAGCTCTAAACCGTAAACCCTGGTCCTAAGCCTAAAAACGCCGAAGAGCAATCTGGCCCACAGGTCCCAGA